CCTCCTTCCTTCCTTCCTTCCTTCCTTTCCTCCCTCCCTCCCTTCCCTCCTTCCTTCCTTTCCTCCTTCCTTCCCTCCCTCCTTCCCTCCCTCCTTCCCTCCCTCCTTCCCTCCCTCCTTCCTTCCTTCCTTCCTTCTCTCCTTGCCTCCTTCTTTCCTTCCCTACTTCCTTCCTTCCCTCCTTCCTTCCTTTCCTCCTTCCTTCCTTCCTTCCTTCCCTTTTTCCTTCTCTCCTTCCTTCCTCTCTCCCTCTCTCCCTCCCTCTCTCCTTCCTTCCCTCCCTTCCTCTCTCCCTCCCTCCCTCCTTCCTTCCCTCCCTCCCCCTCCCTCCTGCGTGTGCAGGGTGTGGGGAGCCCAGGTGTGGGCGGGTCGGGGCCGACAGACCCGGGCCCTGCTCAGGGCGTACCTGTGTCCGTCACAGAGCGCTACGGCCCCCCGGCCAACGTGAGCATCAGCTGCAACGCCACCAGCTGCCTCATCCGCTGGGACACGCCGCGCACACGGCGGGCACTGTCGCACCGCGAGTTCCAGTACCAGCTGGACGTCCAGAGGAAGGTGAGCCGGCGGCCGCCCACGCCTCGCGCCGGACACGGGTGCTGGTCACACCCGGGCGGCCGGGAAACATGGGATGAGGACAGTGGGAGACACGGGACAAGGACAGTGGGAGACACGGGGAGAAGACAGCCAGGAGACACGGGGCGAGGACAGCGGGAGACACGGGGCGAGGACAGCGGGAGACACGGGGCGAGGACAGCGGGAGACACGGGATGAGGACAGCGGGAGACACGGGGCGAGGACAGTGGGACACACGGGACGAGGACAGTGGGAGACATGGGGTGAGGACAGCCGGGAGACACGGGGCGAGGACAGCCGGGAGACACGGGGCGAGGACAGCCGGGAGACACGGGGCGAGGACAGCGGGAGACACGGGGCGAGGACAGCGGGAGACACGGGGCGAGGACAGCGGGAGACACGGGGCGAGGACAGCGGGAGACACGGGGCGAGGACAGCCGGGGACAAGCAGGGAGGGCAGAGCCGAGGGCAGAGAAGCCATAAGAGGTTGCACAGAACTCACACACTCTCACACACACCCACACACACACTCTCACACACTGACACACTCACACACAATCACACACACACTCACACACTCACACACAATCACACACACACTCACACACAATCACACACACACTCACACAGAATCACACACTCACACACAATCACACACACACTGACACACTCACACACAATCACACACACACTGACACACTCACACTCACACACACTCAGTCACACTCACAGACACACTCACACACACACACTCACACAGAATCACACACTCACACACAATCACACACACACTGACACACACACACTCACACATACTCAGTCACACTCACAGACACACTCACACACACACACTCACACACACACACACTCACACACACACTCACACACACACACGGGGCAGCACAGGCGGACCCTCTGACAACCCTCAGACAGGGAAATGTGACCGCTCTGTCTTGCTCTCTCTCTCAGCGTGCCCCACCCGGCGGCAGGAGCCCCCTGGTAAGTTCCGCCCCGGCCCCGTCGCCGACCCACCCCTGTGTGGCAGCCGCTGTGACCCGGGGTGGGGGGCGGCGCCCAGCACGCATCGGGACCCGGAACCCCGGGCGTCCGTGTCCGAGTGGTGGGGTCCCTGCGCACGCCCTGGCAGGTCCGCTCTGGGCGTCAGCGCTCACGTCCCGACTGTCGCAGGGTCGTGCGTCCCTCTCGTCTGTGTCGCCTCAGCAAATGCTCGAGTGCTGAATGCTTTAGATCGCGCTCTCCTCTCTCACACCCCTAAGTCGGAACCTTAAGGTGTGCTTGTGCGGCATTTTACAAGCCTGCAGGCCCGCCCTGACCCTCGGGGTGCTCTTCCCTCAAAGCCGTTAGCTGGACTTGGGGAATCTCCATACCTTCGTATCTTCGTCCATCTCTGGGTCTGTGCATACTGTTCTTGCTCCCGAGCAGTCTCTACGGCCATATACCGTGTTTCCCCAAAAATAAGACCTGCCCATAACATAAGCCATGGTGGGATGTCTAAGCATGTGCGCCATGGAAGCCCCACCCCGAAAATCAGCCCTGGTGACGGGCGTGGCTATGAAAATCAGCCCTAGGTGATGGCGTGGCTATGAATAATCAGCCCTGGTATGGGCGTGGCATGAAATCTGCCCCTAGGGTGGGCGTAGCTATGAAATCAGGCCCTAGTGGTGGGCCCGTGGCTATGAAAATCAGACCCTGGTGATGGGCCGTGGCTGTAAAATCAGCCTAGTGCGTGGGCGTGGCTATGATATCAGTCGCTGGTGGTGGGCCGTGCTTAATGAAAATCAGCCCTAGTGGTGGGCATGGCTATGAAAATCAGGCTCCTAGTGATGTGGGCGTCCGGCTGTGAAAATCAGCCCTATGTCGGTGGGTGTGCTGTGAAATCAGCCCTACGGATGGTGTGGCTATGAAAATCAGCCCTAGCTGATGGGTGTGGCTATGAAAATCAGCCCTAGTGATGGGTGTGGCTATGAAATCAGCTCTAGTGATGGCGTGGCATGAAAATCAGCCCTGGTGGTGGGCCGTGGTAAAAAATGAAAAAATCGGCCCTAGTGACGGGCGTGGCTGTGAAAATCAGCCCTAGTGGTGGGCGTGGCTATGAACACATCTGCCCTAGTGACGGGCGTGGCTGCGCAGCATCTGCACACCCACTGCTGTGGTCCGTGAGCGGGAAAGAACACGAGCAGCCCTTCTCATCCGCCCCGTGAGAGCTCTAGTGCTCCACAGGAGAGATCGGGGCCGGTGGCTCTAAAGGAAACAGAGTCGCAAGACATTCGGGATGGGATTCGGGGTCTGGAGAGTGAGGATGATGTTCCAGAAGAAGACGACGTCACTGTATTTGAATCAATGCAGATGGTTGTGCCGTACTTAAAAAAAATAACACATCCCCTGAAAATAAGCCCTGGGGTGTCTTCTTGAGGAAAAACAAATATCAGACCCTGTCTTATTTTCGGGGAAACACGGTGTATATATATATACACACAGGTGTGAGTCCCAGGAGCAGTTATTCTGTGAGTGGGTCAATGCCCCACCTGTTGTTCACGTAAGCGTGCACACAAGGTTCTCGGCATGTAAAGACACATGTTCACTTTATAAGCCACTTGTTCCTCTGTTGTTGTTGCTGTTGTTGTTTCTATTTTGTATTTATATTTGTATTTTTTTTTCTTTGATGTAGCTTTTTGGGAATAAACCACTGATCTCTAAACCCCTCCAATAGCATGCTGATTAAATGGTTTTCATTCTGTGACAGAATCACCGCTGCTTTCGAGATAGTTTTCACGCCTACCTCGAGAGGGCGTGCTTTCAAAGCTTTCCTTAACCTCACATTTTAAATAGGCAATTTTTTTTTTTTTAAGCCAATGGCACGTAAAGTCTTCCTGGCAGGTCTCCCATCCAAGCACTAACCGGGCCCGACCCTGCTTAGCTTCTTTTTTTTTTTTGAGACAGAGTCTCACTCTGTCACCCAGGCTAGAGTGAGTGCCGTAGCATCAGCCTCGCTCACAGCAGCCTCAAACTCCTGGACTCAAGTGATCCTCCTGCCTCAGCCTCCCGAGTAGCTGGGACTACAGGCATGCGCCGGCCACCATGTCCGGCTAATTTTCTCTATATATTTTTAGTTGTCCAATTGATTTCTTTCTATTTTTACTAGAGACAGGGTCTCGCTCTTGCTCAGGCTGGTTTCAATCTCCTGACCTCGAGCGATCCTCCCGCCTTGGCCTCCCAGAGTGCTAGGATGACAGGTGTGAGCCACCATGCCCGGCCAGTTTTTGGTTATTTGTTTTTGTTTTTGTTTTTTGAGACAGAGTTTCACTCTGTTGCCCAGGCTAGAGTGAGTGCCGTGGTGTCAGCCTCGCTCACAGCAACCTCAAACTTCTGGGCTCAAGCAATCCTCAGCCTCCTGAGTAGCTGGGACTACGGACATGCGCCACCACGCCCAGCTCATTTTCTCTCTACATATTTTTAGTTGGCCGATTAGTTTCTTTCTATTTTTAGCAGAGACGGGGGTCTCGCTCTCGCTCTGGCTGGCTTCGAACTCCTGACCTCGAGCAATCCTCCTGCCTTGGCCTCCCAGAGTGCCGGGATGACAGGCGTGAGCCTCTGCACCCGGCCTCCCTGCTTAGCTTCTGAGATCAGAGAAGACGGGATGTGGTCAAGGAGGTGGGCTCGAAAAAAAAAAAAAATGACAGGCTCTTTTCTGCACGGGGATGGCAACTCTCTCTAACGCTCTCGCTTTCTCCAAAGATCGAGGTGTCTGGCGATTTGGGAAACCGGTACCACTTCCCGAGCTCTGAGCCCAGGGCCAAGCACGTGGTGCAGATCCGGGCTGCCGATGCCCGCGCCTTGCAGTGGGGCTCCTGGAGCGAGCCCATGGAGTTCGGTGAGTGCGCCGGCCCCCGCCGCGCGGGCAGGGGCTGTGCCAGTGCCCGGCAGATATCAGGGACCTGGGTGACACTTGACAGCACCCGGGAGGGGACGCACACACCAGCCACCTTCTCCTGGGCGCTGAGTTTTGCCGTCCAGAGCATCACGACTCGGATTATCGTCACCCCCGGAGACCGCGCCCCTGAGCCCGGGAAGCCCAGAAGAAGAAGACGGAGGTGGTCTCGTCAATGGGCCCTACCTACGATGTCACTTTGTCACTCGTGGAGAAAGGACACTTTCATTTTATTTTATTTTATTTTATTTTATTTTATTTTATTTATTTATTTTTGATACAGAGTCTCACTCTGTCGCCCAGGCTAGAGAGCCGTGGCGTCAGCCTCGCTCACAGCAACCTCAAAATCCTGGGCTCGAGCGATCCTCCTGCCTCAGCCCCCCGAGTAGCTGGGACTACAGGCATGCACCACCATGCCTGGCTAATTTTTTCTGTATAGATTTTTAGTTCTCCGGCTAATTTCTTTCTATTTTTTTTAGTAGAGACGGGGTCTCGCTCGGCTAATTTTTTTCCCTCTATATGTTTTTAGTTGGCCAATTGATTTATTTCTATTTTTAGCAGAGACGGGGCTGGTTTCGAACTCCTGACCTTGAGCGATCCTCCCGCCCTGGCCTCCCAGAGTGGTAGGATGACAGGCGTGGGCCACCGCGCCGCGCCCGGGCCTAAGAGAAAGGACACGCTTAAAGGCCTCCCTCTGCCCCCGCCAGGAAATGCTCATTCAACTGTCCCCCGCAGCTCAGGGGAAGTTTATGTGAAAACTGCGACCGTTTCCTGCCAATCGGGACAAAACCGTCCCAGGCAACCAAATCACCAACACAGCCAACGGAATCTTTCCCTTTAAACTGTATTCGTGGGCAAGAGCTTCACGTTTTTAGCCCCAAAGCCAATTTCATCCTTAAAAAGTCTATCTCGTTTCTAGTGATGAGCAAAAAGAAAAACAATTAAATTTTTTTTAAAGAAAAATAATTTTTTAAATTAAAATATTTAAAAAAAAAAAAGAAGTCTAGCTCTTCGACCGAAACATTTTTAGACATTTTAGCATTTTTATACAGAAAGGGTTTCTTTTTTCCGTCTTTTCTGATCGAAGATCGATGGCCAGAGACTCTGGTCACTTGCAGGACCGAATGTGCATGAAGTGTTCATTCAGCAGTGCAGCATGAGCTGAAAGGAACAGCCGTGCGCAGAAAGTGATTAATTTATAATCTTGGGTTTGGGCCGTGGGTTCTCACTGATCACAAGAAAATCGGCAACAACAAAAAAAAAGGAACTGTAAGTGCATGGGGCTTCAGCAAAATTAAAAGCCCTGCGTGCATCCAAACACACCATCCAGAAAATGCAAACGCACTCTCAGGATGGGAGGAAGTATTTGCAAATCTGCAAAATGTATCTGAGACGTATCTAACACCCGGCATCCAAGACGTATACGAAGAATGCAATAAGAGAAAGACAAATAACTCCATTTAAAAATGGGTTTCAGGCCGGGCGCGGTGGCTCACGCCTGTCATCCTAGCACTCTGGGAGGCCGAGGCGGGCGGATTGCTCGAGGTTGGGAGTTCGAAACCAGCCTGAGCAAGAGCGAGACCCCGTCTCTACTATAAATAGAAAGAAATTAATTGACCAACTAAAAATATATATACAAAAAATCAGCCGGGCATGGTGGCACATGCCTGTAGTCCCAGCTACTCAGGAGGCTGAGGCAGGAGGATCGCTTGAGCCCAGGAGTTGGAGGTTGCTGTGAGCTAGGCTGACGCCACAGCACTCAC